CAGGCAGGCATGATGACTCATGGCCATAAACCCAGCCCTTATGTGGACAGGGGAGAGGATCAGGAGTTCAGTGCAAAATGGGACTACACAAGAACTTGTCTCAAAAACAAGCAAACAACAACTCAAATGTTGAGAGACCTTGGAGGGACTGAGGCAAGATTAGTTTTCTCTGTGGTAGAAATTAGGCTACAGGTTAAGCAAGAGACTCCACAGCAACAATACGGCTCTCTTCTTGACAGGGGAAAGGGACTTTTCAACATGATTAAGTGGAAATGAAAAGAGAAGGCAGGAAGTTGGTGCCCAGAAAGAAATGAAAGTATTAAAACGTATTCTAACAGAAAAGAGGAAGAAAAGAAGGCTTGGAATTAGATGGTAAGCAAAGTCTGCCTTGTGGGTGCTGGCATCAGAATAAAGCCCAACTATGAAAAGCTCATCAGGCTGAGAGCCACCTTGTCCTTGCCGGTGTTTGGTATAAAGTAGAATGAGGCATCTCCAGTATCCACCTCTGAGCATAATTACCAAAGGCACTGTTATGGGTGGGAAAGTGGTGAATTGAGTCACATGACACATGGAAGCAGGGTTACTTGATGGACATATGCCCACATTATTAACAGTATTGAAGTTGGTGGACACATGAATGCAGTCTTCTGGGTTTGGTGGCAGTTTCATGTAAGTAACTCCTAATGATTATTAAAAAATACAAACCCGCCGGGCGGTGGTGGCGCACGCCTTTAATCCCAGCACTTGGGAGGCAGAGGCAGTCGGATTTCTGAGTTCAAGGCCAGCCTGGTCTACAGGGTGAGTTCTAGGATAGCCAGGGCTACACAGAGAAACCCTGTCTCGAAAAAACAAACAAACAAACAAATTACAAACCTATCCTGAGCACATTGAGTCAGCTGAAGCAGAAGCTTGTAGCAGATACCACAGAAGCCAGCCTCACAAAAGAGCTGTCTCCTGGGGACTGTGGCAGGTTAGGTTCAGCACTGCCCCACTCCTGCTGTGGAACACTGACTCCATTCTACCCTGCTGTGTGGCTCCCTGTTAGACTCTCAGTGCACAGAGGCCAGCAGGGCAGCGTGGGCCCAAATGCCTGAGAAGTACAGAAACAAAGAAAATTTGACTCTAGTTGGGGTTGAGAAAGATACCCTGCTAGCCAGCAACTAAGTTCCCAGTCAGTCTCCTACGGTAAAAGCCTTTGTTTCTATATTTCTGTTCTGAGAGAGAGAGAGGGAGAGGGAGAGGGAGAGGGAGAGAGAGAGAGAGAGAGAGAGAGAGAGAGAGAGAGAGAGAATTTCTGTGAGAGAGAGAATTTCTGTGGGGTTTGCACACATGAGTGCAGTGATCTCTGAGTCCAGAAGGGGGAGTCAGATCCTGTGGTGCTGGAGTTACAGGTGGTTGTGAGCTGCCTCATGTGGATGCTGAGCGCTAAACCTTGGGTTCTCTGTAAAAGCAGTCTGAGCTGTCTTCAGACTCCAGGTTTCTGTACCTTATACTCAACTCATCTTTTATGTAAACCCCATTGCATCTTGTTTTAGTTTTGCCATTAGGTGTTACTCAGTTCTTTCTGTACTCCTGCCCTTGTCCTAACTAAAGGTCTTCGGGTCTTTAGTATCTCCCACTTCTGTTGTCAGCATGCGCCTCTGCAACTGTCCACATTCCTGCTCAGGCACTAGTGTTTGCAGTGGGCAGGTGTTGCTTCCACACAGAGACAGAGGTGCTCAGGCCTGTCAGAGTGCTCAGGGAGGCACAAGCCCATCGATCATCTCAAGAACAACCATCCCGCACTGCTTCTGCTGAGCCTCTCCTTCATCCTCTCTGAGTGTCCATCTCCACATCCTTTGGCTCTAGCAGGGATGGTCCTACTGTATGGGGGCATTATTTTGATAGGAGATGTATGATGTGAAACATCTCATGTAATAAAGACAACAGGTGCATTGGAAATTAAAACTGCCATGAGTGTAGCAGTGTTCTTCCTTCAACTCACCTCATGGCAGACTAGACGCCTTGCTGAGTGGATACCTCCCAAAAAGCAGGGCAGTGGTGGTCAGCCACCCTATACTCTCCTCAAGTGGTGTTCTCCAGGCTTTCCTGTGTCTGTCACAGCAAGGTGAATGGAGGGAACTCTGGACTGTGCCCCTCTGGTCACTCAAATCCTTATAGGCCTACCTGGAGGTGGGCTCATCCTTCCTCCAATGGCAGACAAACCATCTTGTAATATCTGCCTTTAAGAGTCCATTTGATGAACAAAATGTCTTCCATGTAGTCTAAAAACAAACATAACAAAATAAAAAACAAAAACATGACTGTGTTGCAATCTTCAAAAAAAAAAAAAAGAAACAGACTTCTCCATACCGACCACAGGGCTACCTAGACCCTGCAGGGCATCCAGATGTTTCTATAGTGAGAGGAACTATGACTGATATAGCTGCAGGAATTTTTTTTTCCTGAAAATTGCTTTTCTTACCTATTTCTGTCTTTATAGGAATTCAGAAATAGGCTTGGGAATCATCTGAATTCAACTTCAGACACCTGTCCTGCGACTCAACATGATTCGGCATATTCCAGAATGGCGCTGCAGATGTCGCAGTACGACTGTGCTCTGAAGGTGGCTACAGGCCTGGCTCTCGTCGCTCTCCTTTTGCATTTCTGGCCAGAGTCTATCTATTCTTACAATGTAACTAAGTAAAGTGTCCATAAGGAGTAAGTTTCTAATTAGAGCCATCAACAAACAGGAGAGCAACAACCCCAGTTCACAAGAGACAATCATGTGAACTGGACACACTGCTTTGTCTGGATACCTTCTTAATGCGCTCACACTGAGCTGAGCCATTCGACCTCAGACCAGATCACAGCTTCTGAACATGCCTTCCTCATCAAACTCCCTTTGACTTCTTCTTAACAACCAATGCAAGTGGTTGTGTGGTTGTTCTTTTTTTTTTTTCTTTTTTTTTTTTTTTTAGCTCCAGTCATTAAGCCCCAGCCTAAGTGCACAGTGGCTCTGCCCATCCATCCGTGGCTCTGGCCATCCTGTCCTTGTGTGGAAGAACATTAGCCCTTAAACATTCTCCAGGCTGTGTTTGGAGTCCCCATGCTACAAACATTTTTTTTTTTACAGCAGATGTGTTCCTAAAAAGTTTATATAGAAATCTATTTTGAGAACTTGGACCCAAGTCCACCACTTAAAGGACTCTTCCTGGTGTTCTAGAAAATGTGAGGATTCCATGCCTGTGGCACCCACAAACTTTCAAACAAACCGTGATCCTTTCCTGACACACCAGCCAGACATGCTACATTTATTATTTTGACCCAACACCATCAGCAGTCTTTACTAACTAAATGACTTCTTTCACAATAAACAGAATTGGTGCAATAAGAGAACGCTGTGTTTACTGGCCTTTAAATGAGTTATTTGGATTGGGTAGGTAAAGGAAAACCAAGTAAGTGCTTTTAGATACCATAGGAATATTTTCATCTCTAGACCCATCCCCTGTCAGCTCTTCCTTACATGCATCTCCTAAAGAGCCCATCCCAAAATATGATGTCATTAGTTGGAGAAAATGCACATATGCAAATATGCACACATGAACACTCATTACTGACATGAATCTCCTGACCCTGCCATGTGCTTCTAGAAGGAACTTGCATTGTACTGAGGGAAGCTGCCAGCCCGGCCCTGACTACTACTGTTTGCTTTGTCTTTTCTTTTGTCTTTGTCTTTTTTTTTTTAATTTGGTCAAAGTCTATGCTTATGATGCAATTAAATGAAGCATCTGTAAGAAAGGTAAGGAAGGAATCTGTAAGGAAGGTTTCTTATTAAAACCTTCAATGAAAGGGAGAGCAACCGGCCGGTTCTCAAAGGGCAACCAGAGATCAGGGCTGGGGAAGTAGGTTAGTGGGTAAAGTGCTTGCCATGCAAGTATAAAAACCTGAGTCCAGATTTCAGAACCCACAGGAAACCAGATGTGAGATTGCATGCATCTGTAATCCCAACTCCCATGGCAGTATGGAAGGCAGAGGCAGGAGAATTCCCAGAATTCCACAGGCCAGCCAACCTCCTATGTGCATCAGAAAACAAGAGACCCTGTTTCAAGCATGGTAGAAGGCAAGGACTACCACCTGAGGTTGTCCTCTGGCCTTCATACACATGCTTGAAATGTGTGCATAGACATCATGTACACTGAGATAAAAACTGTAAATATCTGCCTGTGTCCTCTGAGCACTGCAGAGGGACTTGGGAGCATGCCTCAGTGGTCACAGTAATCAGGACATGTAGCAACAGGGCAAGAGCCTGCCACTGACTGCCTTTCTTGAGCAGGCATAGCCATTGCTTTGTGGATAAACAGTGCACTCCAGGGCGGTGCTTCTTTAATAATAACCCAGCAAACATCAGAACACTTTTCCAAACCTAGAGCCACAGTATGTGGGGCAGAAGAATTTTCCACCTATGGCTTGTTGGAGGCACTCCTTACTTCCATTTCTCACCCCTGTCTCTTCCTCCCTCATCCTCATCCCCTTCTCTCCTCTCCAGCCCTCTGCTTCCCTCTCTTCTAGCCTTCCTCCATTTTTCCTGCCTGTGAGAGAAGGACACACACACAGTTGTCCAACAGCCCCACTGACCCAGTAACAACCTTCAAAGGCTGGTTCCTCTGTTCAGGACTCTCCACAACTGTGACTCTGGTGTGCTCTTTGGTCCACAGAAGGAGCAGCCATGCCCAGTAGTAGAGAACTGTCACACACAATGTCCATCACTCTGTTGGTGACTAGCTTGCACAGGGGATAGCAATGACCTGGAAATCTAGTTTGCTCCTTTTTGTTACCTCCTGCTGGAGGAGGGGAGGAGAGAAGACTGTCTCATTCTACATTTGAGTCATGAGAGGGTGTGGAAACACAGTTCTTGGGGACAGGTCTGAGTGTGGCTAAAGCAGGTGTGGCTTTCAGTGGCACTGAGTCCTCTCCATCTTGCCTCTCTCCTGTCCAGTGCGGCTCCAACTGCGTTTCCTTTGAAGCCAAGCATGTCTGCATGTGGGTTTTGTTTTTTTTTTTATCAGTGAATATACGTGCAGAAGTGCTGTCTGTGCAACTGGGTTAAAAACTAACTGGTGTATAGTTGCTCTTCCCACCATTGTGGTGAAGGTAGGCTTTTGTGGCTAAATGAAAGTTTTTTCATCCTGGGTCCATACCAGAGCTCCTGCCAGATCCAGCTACATGTACTTCATCAAGAAGTGTATAAGTCTTAAGGCTGTGTCCATCATGACCTGACTCATACCAACAGTCTGCCCAGATAGGACATGACTTGTGGGTTGTATCTCTCCTCTTTTAACAGAGAAAACTTCATGTAAGCAATTTTAACTGGGAAGGATTTCCACAAAGTGAGTTACCTTTTAAGCCAGCACCTGGAGGCCACTCAGATAACCTCCCACCCATTAACTCCACCACAGAAAGCACAACCACCATCCATCTCTCTAACACTGACCATTGAAGGCATTTGTATAAATACAAACTTTTTCATGTCTACCTTCTTTTGCTCAACATTGTGAAATCCATTCCATCTGTCACATGTAGCAGTGACTTGTTGACATTTATTGTGGAATAGTATTCTATCCAAAAATACCTTGTGTTTACCCATTCTATATTTGTTTCTGACCTGTTGCATTTTGAGACATGCTACTCTAAAGATGGCTTGACACAAAGGAGTAAGAGTGTGCTGAGTGTATACTAAGGAGTGGATTTAGCCCACTACAGCATTTATCGTAGCCACTGAGCGGTTTGTACCTGTTCCCAACCCACAAGCAGGTGGTGGGAAGCTGGCCATTCTCCTGTATTCTCTCATTTGACGTTTGAGGTCTTCACCAGGCCCCTCCATGCCATCTGCTTGCAGTGGGACCTAGCCCTATTGCAATAATAAGGATTTGGATAGCCACTCACTATCATGATGTGCTAGACAGGAAGTACATTTTATCAGTGCTATTCAGTTCTGAAGAAACAAATCAAGATAGGTATTAATACCACCTAACTGAAAAGAAAGAACTCACAGACTGCCTTGCCCAAGAGCACAGAGCTACTAAGAGAAGAGGTGCAACTGGAACACAGTTCAAATACAAATCCTCTGCACTAGTACTGGGCCATCCTGTGCCCTCACCTCATCTGTGACCTCGACTTGACCTGTGCTAATGTATGTGTATCCAGGACTGACCATGCTTGGGTCTTAGATGAGCTTAGCGTCGATTCTGTGACATCCTACTCCAGAACTTAGAGTACACATTGGATTAGTTGTGGAGATTTGTTTTCTTTACTCCTCTTCTCCCTTCATCTTAGTCCCTGCTTTGCCAGACATGAAATGGCCCACCTGGGAATGTAAAGATTTAGTCAAGCCTGTGCTCTATGTTGGGAAAATGTGTGAAGAGATGTCCAGCACCCCTGCTCTGTCTGGTGAGTTCACCCCAGCCAGAGTTCCCTTGTGCATGCAGTGCCATGGAGGGAAAGTTCAAATTACAAGTGAAATTTGAAGAGATTGAAGATAAAACAAATAGTTTAAAATGAAGAATGGGAGGAGACAAAGGAAAGTGAGGGCAGGAGAAAAGGGGAAAAGATGATCTTCAGGCCTGAGCAGAGGTGAAATTGTAATGTGAGAGGTCTCTCAGTGGGCTTGTCTGGAGAAACCATTCCAAATCACTGCAGGCATATCTGAATCAGATGCAATATAATAGAAATGAATATGCATATCAAGAAGGCTCGCTTGATTTCCAGAGCACCCTAGGAATCTCAGGGAGCTGACAAAAGTGCCTCAGGTATTCTCAGGTTCTTGAAGGAAACAGCATTTATCAAATGCCATGCAAACTGCAGGCTCACAACAATTCCATCTTGGGGCCAGCAAGATGGTTCAGCAAGTAAAGACATTTGCCACCAAGCCAGAGAACTTGAGTTTGATCTCCAGGACTCATGGATAAGGAGCAACCCAACTCTCCAAAGTCATTTTCTGACCTCCACACATGCAGTGTGCTACACACAACACACACACATACATACATATTTTAAAAAATTCCATTTTAACACTAACTTTTGATGATACTATATCTTTGTAAGAGCTGATTTTTGTTCACTGATGTGATTAAAAGCAAATATTAAATGAGAATAAAGGCAGAGAAAGAAGGAAAGGCACACAGGGCCTGCTTCAATGCTGAAGGTGTGGTGTTCTGGCCAGCAGATGCACACCTCCAGTGCTAAGTCAAGGGATGACTTTTTTCTTCCACTGTGATGATTTTAACATAAAGTAAATATTTTGTTTATGGTACAAACAAACCAAAACAACCCCCCAAAAAAAAACCAAACCAAACAACAACAACCAAACAGGGTCTATGTACATAGCTCTGGATGTCCTAGAATTCAAAGATCTACCTGCCTCTGTCTCCCAAGTGTTGGGATTTAAGGACTTGTGCTATTATGCTCAGCCAGGAATACACTTGTTCTTAGCCTACAATACAGTTTGACTTATAGGGTGTTAAAGCTATAAAGGATGACACGGGTCCCTGTGGTTCTCAGTACACATATAAGGCAAATAATATAAAGAAAAAGCATAAGAGATCACCATCAGCAAACCTTGGGTTTAACCACACCACTTTCTTTCTTTGAGTATGTTATATAAAATTGAAAACACTTTTTATTGAAGGGTGTTGAGACATATATTGCAGGGTATTGTATATATAAATACTATGTCCTTAAGTAGATATGATTGTACATTCATTAACTCCCAGGACACAGGAGATAGATGAAGCCTGATCTCTAGCCAGAACTACACAGGGAGACCTTGTCTAAAATAAAAATACAGAATGTCTTTACATATATCAGTTCCTCTCTTCACATAACATTAGCCATTGTAGAGGGAAAAAATAGTTGGTGCTCTAAAGGAAATATGAGATAGTTTATTCCGAGTCTAATTGGATTGACTTTAGAATGAGAACAGATACAGATGGTCCCAAATGACATGCACCACCGTGGAAGTGGCTTCTGTGAAATTTTATAGTTTCAGACTAAAAGGTAGCACTAAATTATTGTTTTTAACAAATAGCTTTTCAACAGACTGGTAGGGATAGCAGATAGGCAAGGTTTAGAAAAATGGAAATTTCTGCTATAACCTGGTGATGTTCTTAAGGATGATTAATGGGGGCTGATTTTCAAGTTCTTACGGAGTCTCATATAAGGACAGTAATAAGGAGACCAAAGGTAGCCCATCAGTCGTCTCTCCAGCATGGGTAGAGCAGGCAGAACATCAGAGAATGTCACATCATTTAGGGGTGAAACCCAATTTTATAAGTAAAGTCAGTTTTGGATTCTGATGCCAACACATGAGGACTCAAAAGAATTATATGGGGAATAAAAAG